GCTGCACACATCTGAATATTTGGGTTGAAGTGTTCTGGAACAGTGTTGTAAATACAACTTAACCACTGATTTCTAGTCGTGTCCTCTTTTGGAAGACCAAACAAAGTAGTTTTGCTTTCACAACGAAACACAGCTTCACACAGGGCGGGCTTGAGAACGGCGCGGCCGGCAGATTTGACGAAGGTGCGTCCGGAGGGCTTGCGGCAACCATATGTGACGACCCCGGGCTGGACTCCGCTTCGTTCACGGTGAAAGCCGATCCGGCGATCCACAGCGCAAAGTTGATGTATTCCCTCAGCGACCAGCACGGATCAGCTCTAGGCATGACGAAGCGATATCGTCCTCTTTTGGAAGACCAAACAAAGTAGTTTCGCTTTCACAAAGAGAACGGAAAAATTGAAATCACATCATATGACCCCTTTAAGCAACAGCCCTGCTTCAACCAGCGTAAGGTGCTTTGCTGGACTTTAAAGCTGGTCTCCCAGCTGATGAATAGCCAAAACCCCTCTAAAACCATGAAAAAGACCATTTAACCTCCTTAGACTGGTTTAAGATGCATTCCCAAGCAGTTTTTCCACATAAAAACCATGTAAGCAACAAAGCTCCAAATATCATCAATAAGACAATATCCATTATTGTAAACAAGAAAACATTTTTACTAAGGTAATCCACCTTTTATGCCAAAAAATGGCATAAAATTGGTCATTGGGATCTCCTTCAAATAGTGTAAGATTATTTTTAATTATAACTTAATATCAAGCTACCACAACAATAACTACAATAATCCCTAGCTGTAATAAATCATATATAGTATTTTGGCCTGTAAACTGATATCACAGTTCAAAGTCTGAGACAAACCACCAAAATAAATGAACACAAGATCTCATTCAAACTGTGTAAAGTTGTAAGAATCAGTGATTTTGATTTGTGGTCACATTGTGACGAATACCAACCACAGTTTTACTCTAATAACAATAACTGCATGTGGTTTTCTACTAGACTACAAAAAACTAGGATTAACCTGGTAATTCATAATAACTCAATAGTTCAAATCTGAAACCAAAACCAAGTTTTAAGCAACAATAAGTATGTCAAGTCTTAACACTAAAAAACAAACAGCACCATGATGTTTTGGACTTGTGCAATAGAAGTACACTATAGAAACATGGTAATCTTTTAGTACTGTAGTACTTATATCACTGTAATCTGACATTATCGTGGTACCGCCATTGTACTTGTTGTAAGAGAATAAACATGTACGTTCCTTAAGAATTAAACAGCCGAATTAATGAATCAACCAAGTGTTGAGAGAGAGTGAATTGTCATGTGTTGATGTATGCACCGGCGCGGGTGTACCTGTCCTCGCTGACCGTGATAACTCCATCCTCCTTCGGGATCAGCACCGCCGCGTTCACGCCGTCGCTGTGGCCCTCGATCTTGTTGAGCAGAACTGGTCTGGAGTTCTGGGGCCTCGAGTGGATCTCCGCCGCCATGATTCCCCGGCTGTGTGTGTGTGTGTGTGTGTGTGTGTGTGTGTGCGCGCGCGACAAGTCCTCCTCTCGAGTCAGCTGAGCGCTCGGGAAGTTCAACCACAACAGCGCGAGCTACCGTAACGCTCCGAGAAAACGCGTACGTAAAGAAAAATACAAATAAACCCTGCGTAAAGGCCCGCGGTTCACTCCTGCAACCAAACTACGCTGTATCATTTTATTATTGTGTACAATCAATTATTAATTATATATGAATATTTTAATATATAATTTGCCTGTAATAATAATTAAATATTCCTATTAATATATCAACGCCTATTGCATATTTTATTAATATTTTATGAACATTGTGCATTACATGAATGTTGGCAAATTATTATTTTAAGTTAAACTATTTACATTTTATTATATGTGAATATATTTGGCCTAACATTAGTATACATATAACATACATATAGTATAAATGCAATATATGATAGTATAAATGAAAAAAAAATGATAGTATAAAATATTACAAATATTTTTGTTATGAACCTTTTTTGCATTCTATATTTAAATACGTTTTACTAATTAATAAATTTGATTTATATGATGTGCCTGTTAAGATAAGTATGCATAATATGTAGGCCTAACAACATCTATTGCATATTTGATCAACAATTATTTTTAGGTAATTCTAAATAATGGATGATTGTACATATAAATAACCTAACATTAGTGTGTGTGTGTATATATAATGAATTTATTTATGAACCTTTTTTTCACTTTTTAATAATTGTGAATGAAATGTGCTATATAAGTAAATTGTCTATATCAGTGTTTTTTAAGAAACATTTAATATTAAATAATTTTTCTTCTTGTCTTACTGGTCTTAATGTAATGTAACATTAATCAAACATAGAAAATGAAACTACCAAAGCAGCTAACTTGAATATACTTTATTAAATAAACAACAAATGTTTTCTTAGAGTTAGAAAAAAACAAAGTGAGCCAGTTTAAGTACCTTATTTAATAAAATAAGACTCAATGCAGGAAAATACATAATTGATGTGATAAATAAACTGACATTTTATTAAGGACAAAAAAGTTAAACAAAAGTTATCTCAGCATTTAAGTTGCACACATTTTGTGAGAAAGATTTGCTTTAGACAAATTACAAACCATGTATAAAATCTTATAAAATGTTCCTAAAGAATATAAAGATAATAAAGACAAAGTCAAAATGAGGGTAAAAAGACACTTGAGAAATTGAGTGGGTAAAGAACACGCAGTCCAAGACAAAAGTTTAATATATTTTGTGTGTCGACCACTGATCGAATCTCCTCTTATCTCTGGCTCAAGGTTTGTTGATCTGGCCAGCAAACAAAATAGTTCCTAAAAAGAGAACGAGATCAGATTTGAGATGCATTTTTAATACGAGGAACATTTTAATATTACAGTTTCATAAAGCAATAAAAAGCCCATAGACTGGATGAGTGTGCACCTGTGGGATTGTGTCTGATGAGAAACAGGAACGGTCTGTCCACAGTCACCCACGGAGGAGAAGATCGAGCGTGCAAGATTGCAGCTGAAATGAGAGAGAGAGAGTACAAGCATATTAGGATCATGAGCCCAGATGAAGGGTCTTGCTGGACATCCAATGACTGAGAGTTACTAACAAATGAAAGACAGAGGAATCATGTGACACAGTAACATACTGGTTGCGGCAGAGGCTTTGGTTCCATCCTCATTGACCTCTATCTTGGCTTTCTGAAGTGCTTTGGACACATAGACCGACTCTGAACCTGTTACACACACACAAACACACAAGTCTTTACTTACAGCATGTAGCTTTAGCACACAGAAGCTTCATTCATACACTAAACACATGTCATTACATCAGACTGCCACACGAGGGAAACAGAACAACACACTTCAGACTGCCAGAGCCGCAGGTCTGGTTTCTGATGGGATTTCTCATAGCTATGGACTACACTGCTTACAAAACCTCTAGTTAATATGAAATCAAAATAATGCTCTGGTAAATCATAATTATAATATCAAAAAGTCATAATTATGAGATAAAACGGCACAATTATATAGAAAAGCTATAATTATGAAATACTAAGTCATAAATATGAGATTTACAGCATACCAAGTCATATTTATAAGATAGAAAAGTATTATTATCACTAGTCAAAATGATGACATACTAAAGATAAAAAGTCATAATTATGAGATAAAACTAATTATGGAATAAGTCAAAATTATGAGGTATATCAATTATGATAAAGGTAAGACTATGATACGAAACAAAATGAGTCAAAATTATGCTAAAAATGTCCTAATTGTCATAATTATGTACAAAAATAAATATTTCGAATACATAATTATGACTTAAGATCTCATAATGTCGACTTTGTCATAATTACGATTTATCAAACCATAATTTTTTCACTTATGTGGTGGACATGGGCTTCCATAACAGGGAACTTCTGCCTTTGCTAAACTAATTCAGATTTAAGAATTGAAGGGATTCTTAAAGGCACAGTATGTAATTCCGCCGCTAGAGGGCGCGTATTCAAAATAAACAAAGAGACAAAGGCGTAGTTTGATGATGCAGTGACTGAGTGTGGAATCATGGGAGTTGTGGTCTTCATCCCCACAGCCGATGCAATCCGACGGGACTCAGGCAGAAATCATGTTCATGGATGAGCTAATGATTTATTAACGTACTAGAATGAAGCAGGGTGACGCTGAAAGCCGCTGAAGCGAAACGAGGCGCTGAACAAGCGCGACACACGGCTCGAAAGCAGCGGAGCTTTTATTATGCCACAGT